ATTTCTAAATATACCCTAGAAGTCATCACCCCTCTAAGGAGGTGTCCATATGAAACTTAAAAATTAAGAAAATTTAACAGGTATACTAGTATATAGAAACAAGAGCTAGTACAAAAATTCACAATTTGAGCAGGAGCAATATTCAGAAGTTGAGCAAGAACAGGTATCAAAACAAGAATATTTTCAAGGACAATTTAGAATAAATTCCAAAACCAAGTATTAATCGATTTTCAAGAATAGGATGCTAACATGACTTTACTCCAAGTAAGGTTCAAGAACTAATTCCAAGAACATTGCAAGAAATAATTTCAAACAAGTCTCAAGATAATAAGGATTTCAACAGTCATAATCCATATTTGGATTTTAGTTTCAAGAACAAGTACCAAGCAATCTCAAGAAAGGGTTCAGGACGAATTTCAAAAGTTTCACAAGCAGTTCCAATAGGTATCAAGAGTTCCATCAAAATTTCAATTCAAGTAACAAGTCCAACAAGTGCAAACTATTACAAAGGACCAAGTTTCAAAACAAGGTCTTAAGAGCATAGTGAGCAAGATTAATTTCACAATTCTACATAGTGTATGAAGCTAGATCATAGGAACAACTAGATTACCATCTTATCAAAATGGATTAGAAAAATTCAGGGAACATGAATTAGAATCGTCCCTTGTATAACCCCATCACTCGTCTCATCACGGTCCTAAAATCCATTGGCTAGCTAAGTTCTAGACTAGTCTTAGGTATTTAATTAAACCTAGGCTCTGATACCACAAAATCTATCACACCCCAAAATCGGGAGCGGAACAAACACTGTACACTAGCGAGAGGATCTCACAAATGCACAAGGCTTGGAGCTTATTTATACCACAAAAGCTACTTTAATACCATAAAATCTCAAAGTAAAATCTATCTTACAAAAGAATGATCTATATTTCAAAAAATCTATGCCCAAAACACAAGTAATTAGCCTTCTAGCTCGTCACTCCCCTTGGTTTCCCATGTCTCAAGTCACACTACCTAAAATGGTGGACAAGGAAAAACTATGTGAGGTAACTTAGTAAGTAAAATATGGATAGCCCTTATTTAAAGTCAAAGCATGCAGGATAAACAATTTAAACATAAACCAGAAGAAATATCTCAATTATAAACCATTAAGGTGAAATAAAAGTTAATAGTGGTCTCCTCTTTAGGTCATGGCAGTGTTTACAAACTCCAACTGGCAGGCATTAGTAATAACTAATTTATTATCCCACTAGTAGGATTACAGAATGAACCGATCCTACAGATATACATGCCGACATGTGTTAACATTTGCAAACTCCCACCAATGAGTGTCAGTAATCATGACTATATTAGAGACAAAACCATGCAAGAGTTACAGGAAAAATCCATAATTTACAAGTCAAATTCAAGTTATAAGAACATTTCAATAAACTCCAAGTAGGCATGCTCAAATCAATAAATGATAATAATTTCATTTTAAACCAATCATGCTCTATTTGGTGTAAAACGGGTTTAGTCTTGCCACCACTTCAAAAAATAGTTTAAAATATGCTTTAAAACATTTACCTTAAAATTCAAGGACATTTACCATAATTTTATTTACCACACCTTGTATGTATACAACAAGTAAGCAATTCAAGAAGTCAAGGTGCTTGAGCTGATTTAGAACCTAAACCACATCAAATAAATACTTAGAATATGCTTGAAACAACTCCAAAAAGACACAAGAACAGCAAGTATCCCAAACAGATTTTCTAGACAAAATTGGGTGGAAAATGGTGAGAAATTGAACTCTTAACTATCCTAGACACAGTAGACGTATTGGATAGTAAAGTGGGGGTTTTTGCCATTTAAATCTGTCCCCAAATGCTTGGAATAAGCCCTAAACAGCAGGGATTTTGGGGCAAAAAGATAGCAGCAAAATAGGGTAGAACATAAGTTAAAACTAGGCAAAATTGGACATAATTTAAGCAGCAAAAAGGGTAGCGAAAGTAAAGCAATAACAAAGGGTTTTAGAGAGTAAAAAAATAGCAGCTAAAAGTCTACTAAAACTATTATGCAATGTAGCAGTAGATAAAGTGGGAATAAAACAGAAAAGATAGGAAATTTCTGTCAACTTCTGGTCAAATTTCATGCTAGAAATTCCAACAAAATTCACACCTAGAAATTGGCTAATCTGGGTTAAGTGGTCAACAGATAAATTGTAGCCCTATGTCTTAGCATTCTAGAGACTTAAGAATTACCTTAATCTACATCTACAAAGAGAGTTATGGCCAAAATACTAACACAGGGTCGGACTGTCAATTAAGTCTGTTAGCGGGAATCAAAGTTGTAGCAAAATTTTCACCATGAAAACAACTGAACTGGGTTAAATGTCCAACATAAAAGTTGTAAGACTATCTCTTAGCTTTCTATATAGTTAAAAATGGACTTAATCCGATAAATACAAAGAGTTATAGAAAAAAACAGCACTATAAGGTCATGTAGTCTAAATTTGTAGCAAAAAGAGGTATCAAAGCTAATAATGCTAGATTATGAGCAAAATCAAGGGGAAACTATAGATAGACTCCCAAAATTGAAAATTCTAAATGATTGGAGCTAGCCCAACTCAAATCAACAATGTAAAGAAGAGAAACGTGGCTAATTTCTTACTAAAAAGTTACAAAAGGAGTACCCATTGAGCCTTCAAGTCACAGACAAGGAAGAAGAACAGAAAGTAGCAATTTTGATGAGAAGAAACAATATCAGAGAGAGTTTAGAAGGTTGATGGCTTCAAGGGTTTTGAATTTAGGGTGGAAGAGGTGAGGAAAACCAAAAAAAAAGAAGAAGACCCCGAAAAAGAAGAGAGAAAATAGAAAAAGGAATTAGGTTTCTTTTGCCTTTTATCATGTCAGTCCAACCCCTTTCTTTTTTTTTTTTGTCCCCCCGATAGAATTCCCTTTCATATTAGTCATCTCACACCTAAACTAATTAATTAATTATACATAGTACTCAAAATTTTTGAGTATTACACTGTCATTTGTGGGTAAGGGATTTTTAGCAATGTTTGGACCAACAACTTTAGGTTTTGATGCAATTCGCAACTCCTTTGCATCTATCAAATCCTAAACACAGTGCCTTAAAGCCAGACAATTTTCAAGGTCATGCCCAACACCTCGACTATGGTATTCACATCTTGCCTATGGGTTGTACCACATTGGGAATGGTGGTTTTACTAGCACCATGGGTACAGGAGTAATAAGACCAATTGCTACCAATTGTCGAAACATTTCAGTATATGACAAAGGAAGCTTGTCGAAATGCCGTCTCACTCTTTCTTGTTGAAATGCCGTCTCACTCTTTCTTGTTGTGGATGATTGATCCCAGAGGCATAAATTGGCCTTGGCTGACTTGTAAAAGCTGATGATTGATAAGTTTGAGCTTGGAAAGGATTATTGAATTGACCTTGAAGATGTGGCTGATTATTTCTCCCATACATCTCATAACTGAGCCAATGGTGCCAGTGTCTAGAAGCCCCTAAATTACCATTTTGGTATTGTTCAAGGATCCTCTTCATTGCTTGATAATCAATAATGATTCCAGACTTGATTCCATCCTCCACTTATTCTCTAACAACAATCAACTGAGCAAAAGTGTAATTCACATAAGTTATTAACTTCTCACGATAAGGCCCTTTAGTTAACTTAATGAATAAATTACTCAATTCATGGTTAGTCAGTGTAGGTTGAACCCGAGCAACCAATCCATGCCATCTCTTAGCAAATTCCTTAAAGGTCTCACTTAGTTTGTTTTTTGTCTTTTGAAGATCCTCTCTACTATGAGCTAATGATGTATTGTATTCATATTGCTTCATAAAGTTGTGAGTCAAATCATGCCACCTCTTAACTTTACTCTTGTCTAAAGTTGAGAACTAAGCATCTACAGGACCTATCATACTATTCTAAAAGTAATGTATCATTAGCTTCTCGTTATTGGCATAAGGAGCCATCTTCCTACAATACATTGTCAAGTGAGAATAAGGACAACCGATGTCGTTGTACTTATCAAATTCAGGCAATTTAAACTTATGGGGTAGTTGAATGTTTGGGAAAAAGCACAAAGATGAGATGTCAACCTGTTTATTGGTTTGGACACCTTGCATCAATTTTTGTGTTTCCTCCATTAATTGCACCTTCGCTTTAATTGCCTTGTCTTCATCCTCTATGATTGACTTAACCACTTGAGTCTCTACTTGATCATTTTCATTAGTCTGAATTATAGCAAACCCAGCATTCAAAACAAATGCTTTTGTTGTAGAAGCTCCAACAATAGTCTGATTTGGTGGGCAAGATGATATTGGCTCCTTTCCAAGAATTAAAGTAGATGTAGCAATAGGGAGACTTGCCACAGGAACATTTCCTTCAAACAAAGGATTTGTTGTCAAAGGTGCCCTTACAACTAAGGTTGCTTGAAGAGATTAAAAGGAAGTCATCAATTCCTTCAAGGTATATTCCATATTTTCAACACGATTTTCAAGAGCTACCTTCTCTAAATTAGCTTCTTAGCCATCTTCTTTGCACGAGCTCTAGTGAGGATAGGTGAACGAACTCTCGAATGATTCCTTTTAGGACCAATCTTTCAACACCTGAGGAAATATAAGCATTATTAACAAATCACAAATTTATCTAATTGGCATTTTTAAAAGAAAAGTTCCCAAAGTTTCCATTAGATAAAATTGATGAGTAAGTCTATATTCTAATTATTTATTTCAAACATGGATTCTTCATTGTCAAGAACAACTTCAGCCACTTGCATGTAAAGGGAATGGGAAATTTGAGAAAAGTAATTGCCACGCAAGCCAGAAACATGAGGAGATTGCCCCCTTCATGACCTTTCAGATTTTTTTTTTAAGTAAAAGAAAAATAATGAGGTGGTTGCCTCCTTCATATCTTTTCTTTTTTATATTGAGGAACTTGCTTTCTCTCGACAAGTAAAATTCAAGAAAAATGTGAAATTTGACTTCAAACTTTATTCCTTTATTTAAAATTTTGAATGTAACAACTAATAGATAACAATCATAAACTTTCATTTCTCCTTGTTTTTCCAATACTCTATTGTTTCAAGTTCATGTTCACAATAATCCCTTATCATGCTTGAAAGCCCTTCCACAAAACTTGAAGCCGCATCATGTTGATTTGGTGGAATAGTACGCTCAACCTTCATTGCTTTTGAATAGATTCCATTGACCAAATAGAGCACCTTTCCTCCTTCTCTTTTTAGTTGATTGATTGTAGCTAATGATTCCCTCAATTGTCCATTTAAGCCTCTTACTTCTGCTTCCAATCCTCTTATCTTCTCATTTTGATAAACTTGTTGTGTTTGCATTAACGACAATTTTTGCTCCATCAATTTTTCATTATTTTGAGCTTCCTCAAGTTGTTGCAACAATTGTAATTCGTTATCAAGCAAATTCTCCACTTCATTTTCAAAGCCCTTAAGTCGACCAATCTCATCATGTTGCTGGTTTACTTGAGTCTTTAAATTGGCATTCTGATTCTTGAATTGATTGAGCTCATCTTCCAACTTGTTTTTGTCACACATTAAATGATCATTCTGCCTTTCTTCCTTCTGGATGATCGTTCTTAATTTTTTCAGAGTTTGAGCATGCTTGTCAACTTCTTTCTCTGCCTTTTCTTTTTCAAAAGTTATAGAATTCTTTTCTTTAATCAATTTTTGCTTCTCACCTTCCAAAAGATAAATGTCCATATTTTTCTCTCTAATTTCATTTTCATGCTTGACCCTTTGAGCATATGACAAACCTTCTAGCTCTACTATTCTTTTCTTCAAATCCACAATAATAGCTTCTTTAACAATGGGAATGTCATAAGGGATAACTATGTCTTGAAGCCAAACTTTCCTCCATTCTAGAAACTCACAAGTGGCTGAAATCTTATTCCTTGAGAAACGCACTTCACATTGTGACCATACTTCTTTGGCAAAGCCAATTTGATTAATTACTTGAGTATCAAGAGAATAATCAAACCCATATGAGGAAATACCATCTAGCAATGGTTTACTTTGCCTATCACAAAATTGCCTCATCACTAGTGTTGAACTATAGCTAATAGCTCCTCGAACGCCCAACAACGGAATCCAATTATGGCCACGTGGAGGATAAAAGTAATTGGTAGACTTCAACCATGTCGCACACCAAACTATGTCTTTAGATTTCAAATTCAAGAATTGTTGATGCCACTGGTTAGCCATTTTCTTTTCCAATTGATTCTTTTTTTGCAAAATTCCAAACTCCTTAATTGTGGAGAAATCTACCTTTGATACATGTGCATGTATCCATAGTGTAAACAAACTAGCAGAACATGTGAATCTACCCTTGCCATGAGCTCTAATATAGTCAGCATCTCGTAAAGTTTCAGCAATTAAAACAGGAGCAACATTAAGATTTGGATTCTTGATAAACTGCTCAAACATGGCTACAACGAATGAACTGATAACTTCCATACTAGTAGGCAAAATAATCATTCCATAAATACCCAAAGCAACAAAATTCAAACGATCTTCCTCAGAAAGTGAATTTAGATCCGACTTTAATTTTGAATACATCATGTTCCAATTAACTCCCCATACTTCATTTCTCTTTATAATGCAACTTTCTGTGAACTCTAAAGGAAAGCTCAAAATCTTTTGTAGCATGGACTGAAATTGCAACTTATTTAATTGAAAATTAATAGGGTCTGGAACATAAATTTCTGAACTCATTGCTGGGCGACTGAACAATAACTGAAAATATTCTTCAATGGTGGGTACCAACTCAAACTCTGGAAAAACAAAGCAACGAAGATGCGGGACATAAAATCTTAGGCTTGCCCTAATGATTTCCCAGTCCGGCTCTACTTGCAACACATCAGCTATTCTGCCAAATTTCTTGTCAAACCTCACTTTGTCAAGATTACTTAGACTATCCCAAGCAGCAACCAAGTCTTTTACACAAGGTCTTTTGGTCTGCACAGAGAATCCATCCTTGTGTGACTTGTTCTTCTTGGATAACGGTGGATATTCTAACTCTAAATTCACCCTTTTCCCCTTACTGTTCTTTTTCTCCAAAGAATCCATGTGTAAAATAATTAATTACCTATTTATTGAAGAAAAGAAAAAGGAGAGTTAATAAATGTCATACCTCTTAGTCGAATTCCTCACCTAAGAAACACAAAAACATTATTTAAAAATAAAATACTCCCTACGTGTCCTATGTATAAGGTTCTTAATCCTCGAAGATGGTTTACTAGGCCGGCCATCCTATGGTTAAGTTTTCGTCTAAGTCCATTACATGCGGTTTCCTAGTAGATCCTATACGATTAAGCCTTTTCAACTGTCAACTTCCATAAAGTCAACAACTATTAACTTCCATAAAGTCAACAATTACCAACTTCTATAAAGTTAACAAGAGGCATTTTATGACCTAATATAGCAGCAGCATTATGGTTGGCAGGCCATATTAACTCACAAAATGAACCTAAAAGAGATAGTCCTACTTCACAAGGAAAGCATTGCGCTTTGCATTGTTCCATGAGTTATCCATCTATCTAGAAGTGGGGTTCACCTCATCAAGGACAAAATGATATGCAAGTGAGGTGTGTGAGGGACTATACACATAAAATTAACATATGAAAATATCCAAAAAAAAAAAGAATAAATAAAATAAAATAAAATAACAAAATAAAATTAAAAAAAAAAAAA